ATTTTATTGGGAACGAATAATCCTTACATGAAAACTCTTTGTAAAATCGAAAATGCTGTGTGTGCCTTAAGGATGTTTAATGTTTTGGATGTGGTTCATTGATAGACCACAGGAGGCCTGTGTGGCATAAGTACAAGTGTGCTTGGCGGACAGTAGGCCTGGACTCGTGGAGAGGAGGTGTGTTGATTTGAAATAAAGACATTGTTTAGTGCTTCACGGAGAGAACCCCAGCGGGGTAACACAGGAATCAGGTGTTTGTTTGGGGAAAGGAATGATCGCTTCTTTCCTAGACTGCTGTTGGGGTTAGTGCTAGATATTGAGAGTCATATTTTCTGCTTTGACAGAGCTGTCGGTGAATGAGATAGTGTATTAATGGCACATTAAAAAAGGCCGGAGAGGCCCTCCCTGGTGGCGCAGCGGGTTAAAGCACAGCACTGAAAAACTGAAGCCACTTCCGCATGAGTTCGATCCCCGCCTGCCCCGGAGGTGACCACATGGCATGGCAGACCTCTCCTGACTGCCCGCTGCTCCCCTCAGCAGTGTACTTCATCGATCTGCCTGTTCTGCTTCCCGCTCTGTCTCTGGTGAATCCTCTCACCCTCCGCATCTCTGGCCTGTACCCCAGTTCTGTATGAATAAATAAATAAATCTTTAAAAAAAAAAACAAACACCCAATTTAAAAAAAAAGGCCAGAGAGACCTAATGGCATTTCAGCTTTGCTTTATGGTTTATTTGTGGTAACAAGAGTTCTTATTAGATGCTGTTTGTTTTAGTCTAGTGCAAAGTAATGCCTTATGATGAGGCTTCTATGACATGTGATCCTGGGGGTGCCTTTACAGGAATCTCCCTTACTGTTGGCAGTGGGAGGTCTAGGGGCCAGGTGGCCTTGTTGCTGAGGGGCTGCCTAAAAGAAAAAGCTCAGAGCGAATGCCAGTACATCTCAGCACCTAGCAGGCCCTTGCCCTGGGCTGGACAGGGTAAATCCTCACCATTGTCGGAATGGCAGTGAGGGCCTCCTGTCTGTAGAGGGTCATGCAGGAAGCAACTCTGGCTAGTGCTGGGGAAGGTGAAGGTCATGATCATAATAAGCCGGTTGTGCCAGCAACGACCTATCCTTGTTCCTAGGGCTGGTTTGGCTGCAGAGATCATGGGGGAGCAGAGCATCACAGGTAACTCAGGCATTGGGAGGATGCGCTGGCTGCACAGGGCCAGGCTAGATCTCGAGACCCCAGCAGGTAACCCGGGCATCAGATGACTGGCCTTGCATAGGGCTTTGCATAGGGTACTCGCCCCTGGAGGACACAGTGTGTGCAGAGGACATGACCTGGGTTTGTGCAACAATGAGGGTCAGCAGGTGAAAGAAGCAGAGGCTCCCGAGAGGAGAGACATGTTAAGATCCAGCACGCGAGGGTTCTGTCTCAGCATCTTTCTCCTGGCTTTCTGGTCTGTAGCTGCATTTTGCCAGCGAGATACTCCTTTCGCTTCCCTCCTGCCCTCATGGCAGAAAATCAGTCAATAATTCGTTTGGGTTCTGCTCCCACTTTATAAAAGGAGAACCTGGCAGGGCAAAATTGTTGGACAGATTATTTCATTTCTGAAATTTACCAAAATAAGCAAGATGATTAGTTTGAAATGCATGGTCAGTGAGTCAAAAAGAAATGCGTGTGCTGCCTAGCCCAGCGAGCTCTGCTGCCCCCTAAAACGTCATTCACTTTTGGCATGATTCCACGGAGCTTCTTTCTGCTGAAATGTGCACAAATTTCCAGCGCTGTCTTGGTGTCTGAAATAGTATTTAACTGCTCAGCGGCAACAGCCATCTAAATCCCCAAGCCGGAGAGAACAGTGATGGGTCTGAGTTTCTGGACACTGTATGTATGAAAGTGGCTTAGTTGATTGCTGTCACCTCTTTGGTGTCCCGAGGAGAGGAGTTGTGCTGCCCATTACCTGCTAAGCCCAGTTTCTCTTAAAGTCACAGGAGCATTTAAAAACCAGAAGTAACTACACTGACTTGGCTTTTTTGTCCAAAAGGCATCTCAGGAATAGAAAGTAAACAAACAACCTGCAGGTGAGACCTAAAAGTGAGCTTAAACAGAAAACGAAAACTTTTGCAGTGTTTGCATCTATTCCCAGGTCAAGCTGGCCTCCCTGGTGGCCTAGGGTTGAGTCTCAGGCATTCACTGACAGCCACTCCCTGGCTCCATCCCCAGCCAGGGAACTGAGCACAGAGCTCAGCGACCTCTCCTGTCTCCCTTGCTGCTCCCCTCAGCAGTGGATTTCAGTGGATCTGCCTGTTCTGTTCCCCACTGTCTCTGGTGAATTCTCTCACCACCCCAGTGTCCCCCCTGCCCTGCACCTCTGGCCTGTATCCCAGTTCTTCCATGAAAAACAAAAAAAAATTGCAGGCCAAGTTGCAGTTCACCATGTGATTGAAAAGAATTGCTCTTGCAAATCTGTAGGCTTGGGCCAAGAGTTTAAAAATAATGATTTTTATGAAGGAAAAGAGCCAACAAAAGCAGAGTGTGGCACAGAGCCTCCCGACGTGTTGCCCAGCCCAGCACTCGTAAGTGGGGTCAGTGTTTCTCACTCACCCCCTCTCCCTGTGCCCACTCTAGTGTAGGAAGCACACCCTAGGCCTTGATGCATTTCAGTGTGTTTCCAAGGGAAGACGACCTTTGAAAAATGTAGCCATGGGCCCTCCCTGATAGCACAGTGGGTTAAAGTGTAGCACTGCAAGCAAGCCGGAGCCACTGTAGTACAAATCTGATCCCCGTCCCGGAGGTGACCCACATGGCGCTGACATGCCCGCTGCTCCCCTCAGCAGTATACTTCATCCATCTGCCTGTTCTGCTCCCCACGATGTCTCTGGTGAATCCTCTCACCGCCCCTGCACCTCTGGCTGTACCCCAGTTCTGAATGCATAAATAGATAAATCTTTAAAAAAGAAACTGTAGCCAGGACTGTGATATGACTGTGCCTGGCACGCTTGTCCCTGTGGTGACACTGACTCCAGTGCCTCATCTGCTGGTTACAGGAAGGGCCGGGTCAGAGTCAAGGTCATGGTTTTTTAGAACAAGATGACATCACAGTTGAGGAGTGCTGACTTGGGTGGACACCCGGAAGCCAACCCCCTTTTCTGCAATGTTCTAATTAATGAAGAAGGTGTGGGCAGCAGACTTGGCCTGACCCATTTGTTGCCATTGTTTTCTTTTATTTCCGTGCTTTCTAGAATGACTTTTCTAATTATAACAGCCATTTCTAATTGTTGTCTCTCTTGCTTGTGAAGGAGAGGTCCTGTTTTAAAAATGATTTTTAAGAGCTGGGATCGAACTGAGAGTGACAGCCGCGGTATTTTCCGTCTAAGTGTCATGTTCTTTCTAGAAGACATGTCACACTTTTAGCCTGGTAGCTCGGGAGCTCTGCAGCAACAGCCCTCGGGGTCCATCCTGTCCTCTCCTGAGAAGTTGTATACAGGCCCAGGCCTAAAGAGATAAGGCTTTTAACTGAGGTTTGTTTTAATTTAGGCTCGGTGACACTCCAGCAGGCGCTGTGCTGGGTGCATGGTAATCAATAAAATGGCGATTTGGTTAGAGGTAGCAGAGAGGAAAGTGCTGGAAGACCCACTGAAGCATCCTCAGGCCTTCCACACATTTCCACCAGTAACCACTGACTAGTGACCCAATGTTTCTCGTTGGAAGCAGTGTAGAAACCATCAGACCTTGTCCCTGTGACCCTAAGACTCTGGCCAAGGGAAACTGTCTTGCACACTCTGTTGCTGCTGTCTAACCTGTCCAGCTGCTCCCACTGGACCTCTCAGCTTCCTTCCTGGATGACCTTCTCCCTGAGGGTTTACTCCCATGCAGAGCATCAAAGATAAGCACGCCGGACATTAAAGCCATGAGACGGTCTGAAATGTAATGAAATTTAAGGTTAATGATGAAGATTTAAATACTCCTGGCAGGAGGTGAAAGGCTACATACCTTCTGATATGTGCAGAGGAGACAGGCATGGTGAGAGGAGAAAGATGGGGTACGAGGCTGGGAAGTGGAAGCTCACTGGGCTTGCTGGCTGGCTGGTCTGGAAGTCCATCCTTCCTGAGGATTCCCCGGGAAAGGAACGCTGTCACTCGGAACAAACACCTCTCAGTCTCCATGTAACTGCGTTAAGGCTGTAGGTCAGGGTCCTGTTCCAGGTGTTCTAGAAAAGGCAGGGAAGCTCCTGATGACCTTTCTTAGGCAGGCATTAGAATAGGGGGCTCTGGAGGTCCTCCTCGGGCCCCTAGCTCTCTGTTTCTAGAAGTGGGCTGGGGCTTTGCCAGTTCCCTGGAGTCAAGCCCAAGTCTTCTGCTTCTCAAAGGTCTGGACCAACTCAATGAACACATTGTGTAGAGAGAGCAAATTTAAGTCACTTGTTCTTCTCCCCCAGAAGGAACAGATTGGTCAGCAGGCCAGGCTCTCCTCCCTAGTACTCCCACTCAGCCAGACTCCCCAGTCTCACCTCCAGTCCCATTCCCATCTACCCACCTAAGCTCTGCCTCCTGGTGCTTGTGAGTGGGGACAGCTGTGGAGACTACCCAAAAGTCCCACCGCCCTACCGCCCTGTGTAAATGAGACTATCTCCCCGCTGTGGACACAGTGACCTGTGGGAGTAATTTATGGTGGGCCACTTGGTCATGAAAATGGTTAAACATATCCTGGGCCACTGTTGGACTCTGGGCTCTTTGAAAGGGGCAGCGAGCTGTCACCTGTCCAGCATGGTATTTCTGCCCTCTGGTTTACCTGACACCTCCTTCAGGGTATTTATCTCAGCTTGTTGCGTCTTTATTTGCATGGTGGTGAAAACCATCTTGTTCTTCGTGGAATGGCCGGCTCCGGCCCATAGTCCAGACGTTGGCCTGTGGAGACAAGGGAAGGCCTGCGCGAATGGGCATCCTGCAGGGCCCGTCTGTGCCAGCAGCAGTGGTGTATGAGTAGCCAAGGCTCATGGGCTCTCTCTCTCACCAGATTCCTCACCTACTCCTACCTCTTGGCTTTCAACATGTGGCTGCTGCTGGCGCCCATCACCCTGTGCTACGACTGGCAGGTTGGCAGCATCCCGCTGGTGGAGACTGTCTGGGATGTGCGCAACCTGGCCACTGTGCTGCTGGCCCTGGCCATGACCTCACTGGGCCTTCACTGCCTGGCAGCCTTCAAGGTAAGCTGCTGACTACGGAGCTTGGGGAATTTTTTTTTTAGTATGCCAAAATTTCTTTCCATTCAGATGCATCTGGGCTTACTTTTTAATGTGTTATTTTTCATTGAGTTCATGTTGGTTTACAACATTATATATGATTTAGAGGTATAGGTTCAAACCCCTTCAGATTATGGGTGGTTAGATACTGGATCTGAGGTGACTGTTTCTCCAATTAAAAAAAAAAAAGCAAAGAAGATATATAGCTGGAAAAAAATTATTAATCATGCAACCATACTAGAAATGATTGTTACAGGGCAGGGAGAGAGGGGCACACTTGGACCCCCAAATCTGCCTGCTCTAAATAGGTTCTGCCATCTCCCGCATCAATACATGAGAGCTTTAATGGAAAGGGACTTTAATAAAATGAGTGTACAACACAGAACACAAAGAATATAATTTCTAAATCAAACACCTGAAGTTACCCATTCCCTCATAGGCAAAAGTCCACCCAGAAGGGATTGACCCAAGCAAGGCCTGAAAGCCCGCCACAAGACTAAAGCACCTTCTGGCCAAGATCCATAGAAAAGGGTCAGACAGGACCAGACAAGTCTGGGAGATAAAGAGCACAATCAAAAAAGATAAAACCTGCCATAGTGAAACTCCTCACTGGTCTCTCACCCACATCCATTTCAACCAGCGCAGGGCCAAGAAACAAGCACAGCTTTTTCATCACATGCTCTCTGCTCCATGTGGCTTCCTCAGGTCTCCTCTGGCTCTCCATCCTGCTTCCTACTTCTTCAGATTCCTTCTCCTCTCTTTTTTTTTCTCTGCTCAGCTCCACCCTCCTTCTGGGTGAGTCAGGGAACCTGGAACTTCCCCTTTTCCTGGGGACCACCCTGTTATATGATGAAAGTAACAGGGTGAGCTTAAATTCCCCTGAGACATGATGGAACTGTCTGCTTAGGCAAAACTGCTACCACATTGGAGAAAATGGTTCCTGAGGGGCTTCATTGAGCTCCCCTCCCCCCAGATCTGGTGTTCAAAACCCACCGGCCTTGAAATCAGGCTGATGGCTGATTTGGTTGGGAGAGTAACAGAGCGGGTGGACGTAGGAAGCATTTGGAAGGGCCGAACTAATGCACTCTCCTGCTTCTAGCATTGACTGCTAATGCTGTGTGCACCTGGGACTCCCCGGGAGCCCAAACAAAACTGAAAGCCCAGGAGACTTAATTATTTGCTGCAAATGTGAACGAATCCTTCAACCCTTGCTCAGGTTGGGTGGCAGAGGGAGGGAACTTCGCTAGTCTGATTCGTCATGGCTAACCTCTCTTCCCATCTCTGGGTATGGGAACCTAAGAGAGACCCCCAAGATCCAGACCAAACTCTGAGTTATACTTCAACTACAGAGAAACAGATTCTTCCACTTGAGTCCAGGCAGGTTCATCCTTTATTATTAAGGTGAGAGAAGCAGCATTTCTTAGAAGTACAAAATAAAGTACAATGTGTAGCATAGAATGCATAGTTTTTAATTATATTATCAGGCATTTAATGAAAAGGGGCTGTAATTCAAGCTCAGAGGAAAAATAGTCAATAGAAAATGGAATAGAATTACAATTTCAGAACTAAATCCAGACTCACATGATCAATTAATTCCTGCATAGTTCCCAAGGTAGTTCCATGGGGAATAGATAGTCTCTTAAATAGAAGGGATTGGATTCATGGAATAGCTGGGAGGAAAAAATATACACTTGGACTGAACACTTAGAAATTAAATGTAGGTGGATCATGATCCTAAATAAAACATGAAAGTAACACCAAAAGTTCTATAAGAGATAAGGAGAAAATCTTTGTGAACTTTGGTTTCTTAGGTAGAACACAAAGTATATATTTTCCAAGATAAAGTTGTTAAACTGGATATCATCTGATTTTAAATTTTACTCATTAGAAATAATGTTAGCTCAATCAGGAGGCAAGTAACAGAAAAAGTACTTGTAAAAGGAATATATTTGAAGGACTTTTACCTGGGATATTTAAAACGCTCTTAGCACTCAATAAGACAACTCATTAAATATGAACAAGAGATTCAAATAGACAATTCAGAAAAAATCTACAAAGATGAAAAAACACAAACTTTATTAATCTACAAAGGTTCATTTTAAGAAGATTTAATTTTAAGTTGTGCAGTATCATTAGTCATTAGGAAAATTCAAATTAATGCCATGATTGCTACTTGCCCATTAGACAGAGTATAATTAAAAAGACTCACAATACTTAGTATTGATTGAAATGGGGGGTAACTGGAATCCTCATACTTTGCTGGTTGGAATGAAAATGACTCAGCCATGTTGGAAGAAATCAACAGTTTCTTTAAAAGTTAAATACAAAGGCCCTGGTGATGCAGCGAGTTAAAGCACAGCACTAAGAAGATAAAGCCACTTCAGTATGAGTTCAATCTCCACCCTGGAGGTGACCCACCTGGCAGAGCAGACCGCTCCTGGCCTGCCCGCTGCTCCCCTCAGCAGTGTACTTCATCAGACCTATTTTGCTCCCCACTCTGTCTCTGCTAAGTCCTTTCATCACCCCTACACCTCTGGCCTGTACCCCAGTTCTGTATGCATAAATAAATAAAAATTAAAAAAAAAAGTTAAACACAAAAACAAGCAATTCTGTGTCTCAATACAGGTAGACCTCAGACAAAAGGAATTAGTTCCAGACCACCATAATAGAGCAAGTGTTGTAATAAAGCAAGACTTGGGAGTTTGGGGGTTTCTGTGTGTATAAAAGATATGTCTATTCTCTACTGTTGGCTGTAAAGTGTGCATGATGTCTAAAAAAGAGTATATGCACCTTAGTTAAATGTGAACAGAAAATGAAGCCAGCAGATACTGTTGGAAAAATAGCTTCAAAAATAGACTTGAGGGATGAGGAGTTGCTACCAACCTCCACTTTGTAAGAAATGCAGTATTTGTGACACACCCTAAAACCAGGCATGCCGGTATCCACTAAAGACAGATGGACACTTGCATCCACATGAAAGTTTTGTCTGTAAATATTCATCAAAGCTTTACTTATGGTCACTGAAACACGTAAACAACAAAGTGAGCTCAGTTTGTAAATGGAAAACCTTAATAAGTTATCCAGAAACTTATTTTTTCAATTAATTTATTTTTAATTTGGGTAATTTTGGAAAACCCCACCATGAGTTATCACTGAAGTGCACCCACCTTCATAGTCCATTGTGCTGCCCTCTCTCTTTGTTCTGACCTCTCCTGCTCTTCTGCCCAACCCTGGTACCTTGGTTCTGTCGTCATATCTCCAGGGTTAGTTTTTAAGCTTGTCTTTATCTGACTCTTAGTTTAGTTACTTTATATTTCTCCTATTGGGAACACCACCTGGTCACTTTCTCCTTCTGACTTATTTCACTGAGCATTATCCCTACAAGCTCCATCCATGTTGCCCTCAGTGGCATGAGTTTATCTTTTTTGATGGCTGAGGAATATTCCATTGTATGTATATATCACATCTTCTTGATCCACTCATCTCTTTTGGGGAACTTAATTCCATAATTGAGGTATAGTAAAGAACACTGCCTGCAATAAGCATGGGAGTGCAAGTTTCCTTTTGAATTAGTGTTTGTTAATTTTTGGAGGAGAAATGGGAGTGCATTACTAGGTCAAATGGCAGATCCATGTTTAATGTTTTGAACACCTCCACATAGCTTTGCACAAGGGCTGGGCCAGTCTGTGTTCTCCCCAGTAATATACGCGGGGTCCTTTTTCTCCCCATCCTCACCAACCCTTGTTGTCTCTGGTCAAACAGTATATTAATATTACTGTAAATTGCTCATTTAAATTCTAACTTGCTCAATTCTTCATTCAAGTCAAACAGTATATTAATATTACTGTAAATTGCTCATTTAAATTCTAACTTGCTCAATTCTTCATTCTTTTCATGACTGAATAATATTCATTTGAGTGTGCATATGGGGTGTGTGTGTGTATATATATAGATATTTGTTTATCTATCCATTTTTGATGAACATTCAAGTTATTTCTACTTCTCAGTTATCATGAGTTATGCTCCTGTAAACTTCACTGTATGGATATATGTTTTCATGTCTCTAGGTGTATACCTAGGAGTGTAATTCCTGAGTCACGTGGTAATTCTATGCTCAGGTTTTTGAGGAACTATTTCCCCCAATATCACCAGGAATGTACAAGTGTTCATAGTTCTCTGCATCTCTTCCACACTCTTTAATTTGTATTACTTTGTGTAGCACCACCCTCCTGGGTATAGAGAGCTATCTCATTGCATGAGTATGAGTCCAGCTTCCTTCTTTTGCCTGTGGTTGTCCAGTTGCCTCTGCCTCATTTACTTGTTAAAAAAAAAGGTATTGTTTCCCAGCAAGCACCTTTCTTATTTATTTATTTTTAAGATTTTATTTATTTATTCATACAGAACTGGGATACAGGCCAGAGGTTTAGGAGTGGTGAGAGGATTCACCAGAGACAGAGTGGGGAGCAGAACAGGCAGATTGATGAAGTACACTGCTGAGGGGAACAACAGGCGAGACAGGAGAGGTCTGCCGCTCCATGTGGGTCATCTCTGGGGCGGGGATCTATCTCGCACTGAAGAGAACATGGCTTGGCTTAACTTCACAGTGCAGCACTCCAACCTGCTGCGCCACCAGGGAGGGCCCAGCACCTTTTTAAAAAAGCAATCTTCCCTTTAATTTTTCTGTAAATCAATTTTATAAGTAGCAACGATATGAGTAACTGTCTTCAGAAACACTCCAGCAAGCCAAGGTCTTACAGGAACTTAAGGTCACCTTTCTCCTTCATGCTAGGCCTCTAATAACTCCCCTTTAATGCAGGCCCCTCCGCTTTTTACCTTCCTCTCTCTTTTTACATTTTCTTCCCTATACTTCCTGTTTCTACAATGTTCTATAATTGGATAGTTTTGTGAAATGTCTATTTTCACCAGGAGCTTGCCACAGCCAATATCTATTACCTACTTTTTGT